GTCTCTGAGCAGTCCCAGCTTCTTCAGTGCCTCCCGCCTCCCCTCCACGTTCTCCGGCCGGGGGCAGATCAGCACGCTGATGCCTTGCGATCGAGGCAGCTTGGACGACTCCCTGGACTGTTGAAGAACGTTGTGGGCGTGCGGGGCTCTTTGAGCATCCAGCTGTTTGCTGGCGGTGGGGGCTGCCTGCACATCCTCTCCCTTGGCAGATGGAACATCTCTCCTGCTCCCGGGGGAGGCGGGCCGGGGCCGACTGCTGAGCGGCGGCTGTGGGCTCTGCTCTCCGATGGCCCTCTGGTTGGCCCTGTCGGGGTTCGGACCGGTCAGATGAAAGCTTAGACCCACAGCGGGGGGCTGCGGGGCTGCGGATTTCTTATCTGTGACCTTTGGGGAGGTTAGCTGTTGGACTGAAGCAGGAGCAGGGATGCTAGCTGCAGCATCTGGAACATCTGCACCAGCAGGCAGTTTGTTGAGTGAAGGCAGAGGTCGGATGGAATCGCAGAACGCTGTGGGAACAGGCAGAACAACAGGGTCCTGTGTGGGAGGAGGAGGAGGAGGAGGGGGAGCTGGTAAAGCAGCAGCAGACGGTACAAACTGAGGAGAGGGTGAGGTCTGAAGGGGGCTGCTGAGGTGGGTGTAGGACGGTGTCAGGGGTGGAGAAGGACCGTTCCACGACCGCCGGTATTTTGAGCCATTAGGGTTCCTTACAAGGCTTGTCTCTTCCTGCTTTTCTTTGAGCAGTCCCAGCTTCCGCAGAGCCTCCGTGTGGACCTTCCGGTGGTCCTCCATCAACCTGTCGCTGCTGGTGGGTAGGGGCCGCACGCTTCCATCAGAACTACCCGCTGCCGCCTTTTGTGACGGCAAAACAATGTTGCCAGGAAGCTTTTTGGGCTTCGGGGCCACGGGAGGTGGACTTCTCGGTGGAGTGAACTCAGGAGGGGGATTTGATAAAGAACCAGAAGCATTTGCTGGAAGACTGGGTGGAGGATCCTCAGTCAGTGAGGAGGTCTCTGAAATCTTATCTACAGAGTCCGTTGAGTTTAGCTGCACTGGTTCAACATGCGGTTCAGGCTCTGTGGAGAACTCTGGTGGTGCAGGGACATCATTCAACTCCTCAGGCAGTGAGTCAGGGTCCAGATCATCCTTGAAGTCCGAGGGGGGCGGGAATATACTCAGGTCGATCTCAGAGGTCTCCTCATCAGAGCAGGTCCAGGTACTTGTGACGCTCTCAGGATCACAAGCTCCATTCAGGGTTAAACCTGTGGCCTCAGTCTGGTTTGCTGCTGAGGGGGTTGTGCACCCAGGAGCAGATTCAAGGAGAGGAGAACTGGGAGCGGATTGTGGTTCAGAGTTCTGGTTCGGAGCGTGATGCTCAGTTTCACCCTGAGGGGTGAATGTCATGTGTGCAGGATCTGCAGCTGCGGGGGAGGGAGGTGTGGGCATTCCCAGACTGTCAGACTGTGACACCAAACTGGAAATACCTACAAAATACAAAAGACCATAAAGTTCAGCAGTGTCAAGTAATGAAGTACAATTGTTTTACTTTTTATCTGCTCAGGGCTACGGATGAAATTTAGGTGTTGTGCTAACTGCGGTACATTTATATTCACAGAATATTGATTAATGTGCATTGTCCTTTTAAATAAATGAAATTATTTAAGCAGAAAATTTATCTGTACTTCACTGGAGTAATTATTTTTCAGACAATTTTGTACTTCTACTCTGTACATTTTAAAAATGCAAAAAGTGGATTATGAAATCTTGTTGGTTTGTAGACGAGCCATCACTCCTGTTTGACACAAAGTAATCTTAGGGTGTATTCAGACCAGGAAAGTCCTTTGGTCCAATTGTTTGGTCCGGACCAAAAATGGACTTTATTTTTTTCGTTTGGTGTGGTTTGCATTCACCTTGTGCTTTTTTGCAAACGAACTATAATTTGTAAACAAAGCCATGAGGCTGACAATCATTGCTCCCATTGGACAAAAAAAGGACGGGGGCGGGACTGAGCCACAGATCCAGAAGAAAACAAGGAAGTCCTGCATGCTGCGGTTCTGATGCGCACATTTATGCTGATAGTACAACTGCAGTAGCAWTTAAAATGTCAGAWRCAGCYAATTTAAYGRTGGTTYCGTGWTGATATTCWAAYTTTGGAGCGGCGTCAGTAAATGTGTCCCGCAACCCAAAGGAGACGAGGTGCTCTGCGTGTTCTGACCCACAACATGCCGGCAGTAGAGCTGCTAACAGGAGATGACGAAACAGGTATGTTTTCAGTTTATTTAGCTCAACAATGGTGGCCTGTGAAGTCCAAAAAGGTGCATGTTTAATGCAGTTGGTTCGGTTAGAGTCCGGTCTGTATTCACACCAGAAGCAAACTGAAGTGAACCGCACCAGAGTTCGTTTGGAAGCGGACCGGGACCACCTCAAAAAGCAGGTCTCGGTCCGGTTGTTTGATCCGCACCAGAGTTCGCATGAGTGTATTCATACCTGCACCAAAGGTCCGGACCAACGCTGGAAACGAACTCTGGTTCGTTTAAAGCAGAACAAATTATCAGGTCTGAATACGACCTCAAATTAGTACTTTTATGCTTGGGTAAAAAGCTTGAGTTAATACTTCCAAAAACGTTTTTTAAACCCTAGTATCTATACTAGGGCTGCAACTAACGATTATTTTAATAATCGATTAATCTGTGATTATTTTTTTGATTAATCGATTAATCGATTAATCGGCCAAATCATTAAAATGCATAATTAAATGAATATGAGTAGATATAAATTAAGTTAACTCCTTAAGGATGCAATTTACTGATAATGAATTAATCTGAAATTGATTTATCTTATAGATTGATTAACAATTAATTAATAAGCAGCCATTTTTTTTTAAAAACTGAGTTTTCTCTTGAATCAAGAGAGTCTTCCCATAAAATGAAGGATTTTTTTATAATCTCCTGAAAAGAAGCACATAATACATATTTTAACAATTTATTTTGCCAGCTGTATTAAATACTGACTGAAAAAATGTGTATTTCTCCTACATGAAACAACAGAAATTTAATAGGTTCCTGAATGAGGAAACTAGATTAAAATAATAAAATATGATTTTTAGATGTAAAACTATTATTAATTTATTATAATTAGAATTTATTTACATTTAACATTTATTTTTTTTCTCTAATTCTTTACTTTTTGTTTCATTCTTGTTGGTTCCGTTTGACTAAAACATTGTTTGACCCTAGGGCTGCCACAAATTATTTTTATAATTGATTAATCACGATTATTTTTTCGATCAGTCGACTAATCGGATCATACATTAATTGAATATAAAACATACAGCTTATCGTGCCAGAATGCAGCTGCTATTATATAACCATGGTTAGATTTTAGCTATATGCTAACTAAAAATAATTGCTGTGGAAGACAAGTTCTGCTCTGCAGATATTACACAGGTTTCTCTTTCATTTTCTTAAAATGATCCCACACATTTGAACTCCGTTGCCGGGTAGCCATGATACCAGAACCTGTCTGTATAATGTCTTGTGACGTCCACGGCCTACCCCAGTTACCACTATTGTGCATGTGTGTCAAGGACAGAAAGGCAGATGTGGCAGTGGAAGGTGTCAAAGCAGTTTGGAGAGAAAAACAAAGTAAAGAACAAAAAAATAAAACGATTAATCGATTATTAAATTAGTCATCGATTATTTTAATAATCGATTAGTCATCGATTAATCGTTGCAGCCCTAATCTATACTTCTACTTAAGTAAAGAATGTGGACACTTTTAAAACCTCCGGTAAACTTAACAATTCTGTCAATGCAGAAAGACAAATTCATACAAATTTAATGAAAGTTCCACAGATTTCTTGAAGAAACAAACATCGCCCGCCATCTTTAATGACAAAGTTTTAGACTAAAATCATGGTACGTTACGAAATGAATGTTTTAGCAGTTTTGTTGAAATAATGGGAAAAAAAAGTTTAAATTTTAGTTACTAACACACAAGGTTTTAGCTCAGCATCTGTAAAATCCATTGAGGTTTAGCCATATTTGCTGGCGGCTATCTTGAATGGGATGACTAAAAGTTAATCATCTGTTGATTCATCCAGTGATAAACCTTCTAAGGATTTTATTAAAATCTGTCTAATCATTCATGACATATTTAGCTAATAATACAAACTAACACATGCAAAGACAGTTTGGTTCTTCATTTTTCTTTGATGATTAGCAAAGTAATAAAAACACTGAGCGCACCATTTACTCTGATCTGATCCTTTGCTTTTGTCACGAGATCCGGTTCATCGGTGGACAAGCCACTGTCCTCCTCAACCTCCAAAGCTTCAATGGTTTCCTCCAGAAACATCAAACATGCTCTCTCCTCTGGAGTTAGGTGTTCCATACTATCATCGCTCTGTAGACAGCAGAAAACACCATCAAATACATTGCAAACAGCATTTAACACTGTCAAATACACAGCACACAGCATTAAACACTGTCAAATACACAGCACACAGCATTAAACACTGTCAAATACACAGCACACAGCATTAAACACCGCCAAATACACTGTAAACAGCATTAAACACTGTCAAATACACTGCAAACAGCAATAAACACTGTCAAATACATTGCAAACAGCATTTAACACTGTCAAATACACAGCACACAGCATTAAACACTGTCACAAACACAGCACACAGTATTAAACACTGTCAAATACACTGCTAACAGCAATGAACACTGTCAAATACATTGCTAAGAGCAATAAACGCTGTCAATTACACTGCAAACAGCAATAAACACTGTCAAATACACTGCAAACAGCATTAACACTGTCAAATACACTCTAAACAGCAATAAACACTGTCAAATACACTGCAAACAGCAATAACCACTGTCAAATACACTGGAAACAGCAATAAACACTGTCAAATACACTGCAAACAGCAATAAACACTGTCAAATACACTGACAACAGCATTAAACACTGTCAAATACACTGCAAACAGCATTAAACACTGTCAAATACACTGCTAACAGCAATAAGGACTGTCAAATACACTGCTAACAGCAATAACCACTGTCAAATACACTGCTAACAGCAATAAACACTGTCAAATACACTGCAAACAGCAATAAACACTGTCAAAT